CTTTGTAATATCAGCCTATTGGTTAGATTTAAGAACATCATGAACATATGATACATTGAAATTGCAAAATTGCTTACAACTGATGCATGAACAGTAATGCTACATAATTGCAATGAATAAAACAAAAGGTTTTAATAAAAGAAATTCATATGATAATCAAACAGTTTAACACATCTGTCATCTGTGATCAAAAGTTATCCAAGGTCATAGATGGTTCATCATAATAAAACTTGCTGTGCAGCTGCTTATCATATTTTGTCTTTCAGCTTGTTGAACTGATTAATATTTTTTAATTTATTATATGTTAGAGTCTTCTGTGGATGTGTGTTTGGCTGATTTTATAGCGATGAGGGACAGTACTGTTGATAAAGACAAACCAACGTTTATTAAACAGGCGGAGGTGGACCTGGTTGATGGACTTTTGAAAGGTCACCACCAACATGTACATTTAAAGTACTCGTATCCTGAAACACGACAACGTTTTATCCAGGCTTTGGTGGACAACATCACTCGAAAGTGAGTTAAAATTGAATAATACAGTGTTGAAAACTGGAAAGATATACTTAATGATTTAAATAATAAAATCTTAATTTAAGTTAGAAATTGAAATACATAAATATGCGTTAAATCTGTTTAACTTCTTTAGTTTATTTTTTCACCGATTTCCAGATAAGCAGATCATGACTAGCTTCTGTGTCCTATGAATGCAGCCAGTTACACTCCTATCAGAGGAAGACCTGGCTTTATGGGGAAACAAGTCCCGTGCAGTCCTCCTTGATCTCTTTGGCAAGGAAAGGCAACACTCCTACAAAAAGGACAATATTGACCAGGTGACCTCATCCGCTGCCATCATTGATGCAGAGAAGGCACAAGATGAAAGGACAAAGGTAAGAGCAAGTGAATCAGTAGTAACTCTTAAATTGTAAGTACATGTATTGTACTTCAAGTTATGGTAAACTTCATTAATATAAGCAGTGACATTTTATGCAATAATTGTATTGTGTCTGCAGCTAAGGCAAATGGTGAAGACACAAGGATAACCTAGGCATTCATTATCTGACTTGTTGAGGCTGATAAAAGAGTACCATGGAGAAGACTTCCCAAACTTCCTGATGCTGACCCCATTTGCCCTTGTCCACCCTGTCCACACCAGTGACTGTGAGCGGGCATTCTCAGCCAATAATTCGGTCACAACCCCCCTAAGGAAAAGGCTTTCACTGTGACCATCTGATGCGTGTCATGATTGGTGGGACTGAGTTGACACAGTTTGACATAAAAGTGGCCTTGAAAGAATGGCGCAATTCAAAATCTAGAGTTATCTTTAGAAAATAAGAATTTAGTCAAGTGTTTTGTGTTTTTGTTAATGTTTTGTAACCTTTAATATTTTAAAGTTTCAAACATATCTCTTCTATATTCGAAATATTCCCCTCTCGTGAAATCTATGGGAGAATTCTACCTTTGCAATTGGAACCCGGGGTGATCCCTGATATATTAGGGATGGGAATACCTTGGATGAGTTTATGTTTCAAAGGTGACTGCATGTTGCTATTCATAGAATTTCTTTCTATATATCCAATTACTATGATCAATTGTATAGCTAGGATTTCTCGTAATTGTATACTAGAAAATGTAGAAGTGATACGTCAATGTAGCTGTTGCTTTTTTATGGTGTTTCGTGATACTATTGAAGTGTACTCGTATGATCCCACCACCATCAGATAATGTATAATGAATGAGGAAGATAACAATCATTTACTAATTATTCTATATTGATTACACATTTCTGTATAAAATAAATAGTTTGACAATGTTGGTTTGGTTTGATTTTGTTTAACGGCCTATTAACAGCTAAGGTAATTTTAGGACGTGCCTCGATGTGTGTAGTGTATGCGTGTTTGCGTGTGTGTATGCAGGAGTTTGGTTTGATTTTGTTTAACGTCCTATCAATAGCTATGGTCATTTAAGGACGGCCTCCCCTGTGTGCAAGATGCATGTGTGTAGTGTATGTGTGTGTCTTTTGGGAGGCTACGATATGTTCGTGTTTGTCTCCTTGTGATAGCTCGGACCTGATGCCGACTTTATAGTGCTATCTCACTGAAACATACTGCCGAAGACATCCAGCAGGACATCCCATCCGGTCGCATTATACTGACAATGGGCGAACCAGTTGTCCCACTCCCTAAATTGCTGAGCGTTAAGCACGTGTAGAAACTACCGTTTTTACAGATTCTGGTATGTCTTGGCCAGGGGACTGAACCCAAAGCCTTCCTCACAGGGGCGAATGCTCAACTAAAGGCAAAAGTGAGGCATTGTCAAGGAAGACATTAGGAAGAAGATAGTTGGTTAAAAAGAAGAGAAAAGAAAAGATCCCAAATGTCGTCGCCTCTTACGTCATGGAGCAGCAGGTACAATTCTTACGCCCTATCTGCAGGTATCTTTGATACATTACAACCTACATTTGGTAAAAGATAGAGAAGAACATGAAAATACCGTGAATAGGTACATATTTCAGGGTGTCGAAATGAAAGTCTTTATAACGTTTTATAATAATAATATACAGCATTTGATATAGCGCCCTTTCTAGCTAACCTAAGCCACTTTAAAGCGCTTCACAGTACATAGATATACAATTGTTTTTTACAATCAATACAATTAGCATATACATTAATCCATACAATTTGAGGAATTCGCAAGAGCTGCCTTATCATGCGCTAACTACTAGTCCTATGTCACCTGGTTAATATCTTCCTATGTGTTTATGCCTGCGTGTGTGCTGGAGATGTATTGTATTATAGATATTATCCCGCACTTAACTTATTGCACATGGCGGCAGGGGCATCTTTGTCTAACGGAGATTTTCTACTTTTTTATAATGATCTGTATTACATTATTAACGACGCATCAATGCAGATAACTTGGATAGGAAGATATTGACATATCCTAACCACAACACCTCACGATCTTTTTCTAGTGTCTCCGGGTTAAATTTAAGAAGTGTCAAACATTCGTTCACTGTTGATGATATACAGTGGTGATGGGAACGACGGCACAATCGATTTATATTCAAACATATCCTTCGATTCCATGCTATACAACTATTTGTTTACATAAACAACTTAAAAAAATAGCGAAACGGACTACACGCATTTGCAATGGCTTTAAAGTCGTTTGGTTGATTACACTCGACGCTTCCTAACTCTTCATCTTTACAAAAAATATCATATGCATGACCGTGTTCAAGGCGTTTTCCGAGATAAAGTGTCACGCAAGCTTTATAGTTTCAACAGCTTGCAAAATGAAAGTTTTTACCAGCTGTGCGCCTGAATTTGCTCATTCGCGATGCCTTCCATATACACTATAATGTAGCACTATAAAGTCAGCATCAGTTCCACGCTATCACAAGGAGACAAACACGAACATATCGCAGCCTCCCCAACACACACGCAAGCATCTTGCACACCGGGGAGGCCGTCCTTAAATGACCATAGTTGTTGATAGGACGTTAAACAATACTAAACCAAACCAAACCAATCAACGAAAGAAAGGTAATGTTTTGGTTTTATTTTGGTTTTTACGTCCTATTAGAAGCTTAGGTCATTTAAGGACGTGCCTCCATGTGTGTTGTTAATGCGTGTGTGTATGTGTGTTGGAGACAGGGTATGTTGGTATAATTGCCTCCTGTGAAAGCGCCGATCGGATGCCGATTGTATAGTGTTATCTCACTGAAATACCATGCCGAAAGCACCATGCACAGCATTCTGCCCGGTCACATTATGCTGAAAATAGGTGGACTTTCGTTTGTCCGGTCTTGGGACAGACCCCGTCACCTGGAAGAACGTTCAACATTAAAGCCAGGGCCCTAGGGGGAAAAGTAGTTAGAAATATTACGCTGCCAAATAATTCAATGATTACAGCGTATTTATTTTGGTCGCTTTTGTGTACCTTAGTAGAGGGCACAAACGAAAATCCCCGATTCATCAGGGGGTTCCGACATTAGTGGCATATTACAATATATAAAAGCAAATGTCTTCTTTTGTGATCCCCGACCTGCAGGAGTGATTTTATTAATGTCAAGGGAAACGACATTTAAATATTTCACGGTTGATTCTTAATTATTTTAATCACTATAAAAAGCAAATTTGAAATAGTGTATGCGATTTTCCGATCGCATGTCACAGAGAGCGTGTTTTTTCCATTCCACAGCTTTGCTCGCTCAAATACCTAGTCCAGTAGCATTCAACGACACTCCCATTCTGTATGTGGCCGCATGGTATAAAGGAGTTGAGGAACGCAGGTTCAGTTATTGATCACATGGAAACAGATATGTACAGTCGGTTGCTCTCCTGTTCATAGTGTGGTAGCAAGAAGGGAATATTACACAAGCCTGCGAAGTAAGTAAAATAATTTAATATAGTTTCTTTACCGTGAATAACAACCTGTATGAAAACTAAGTATAGGCTCATCCCGTTAAGAACGTTCTGACATTAAGATTAGGAAAGTCCTCAAAAGCTTTGAGCTCAGGGTCACTTAACTCGAACGATGTATTGCATCTGTGATGTTTCAACAACAAATTCATATATAACATCGTACAATTGTTAAAAATCCGGAATAAATGGGAAAATTTGTGGACGATTTTATTTTATTATATGTTAAACGTTTGCGAACATAAAGATATAGAAATATATGTTAAACCGATATAAAATTGTTTAGGTATTAAAAAACTAGATCAAACGCATAGGCGTTAATTTAACTCAATATTGAAATATGTGTAACCGACTGTTGTTTCGTCAGTGACTCCTCAGATACCTGTGTGAGCCCCTTTATCAAACCTGAATTTAAATTTAATTTAACAGGTTTGCAGATAAGATTAATCGGAATACCGATATTAGATATAACCTAATTCAGCACAATAAAGAAATATTGTCTAACAAGCAATTACTCATACGGACAATGCCTTTTTAAACGTTTTAATATTCTTGCGTTGTCACCTGCTTCACATTCAGGGTTTGTTGTGTTTTTCAACCAATCCACAACGTTATATAGGGCCAAACAACCCTGTAAACAAGTGACATTAACAAAACTAAATACATCAAACTTCAAACTAAAACAAAATAAAAGATGTAATAAATCCTCAAAATCAAACGATTTGATTGTAAATATAAAGATACCCTATTGTTAAGTTAAATTCAGTGTAAATAATCATAGTGTTGCACAGAAACTGAAACAAACGCTGGGCTAATAAAAAAAAGCAGGTACAACTTGTAGGAAATGACTTCAAACGAACGAAAATGTAAAAAAAACACGTCAACTTGAAAAGTAAAAGTTGCTCTGGTTTAAGTAGGTAAGCATTTTATAGGTATTTACTGCTTTGGAAAGTAACTTGAAATCTGCAACATTTAAAAAACAAAAAAAATCTACTTTAAATGGTTTGGTAAGTAAAATGCATTGCAACTGGTCTATGCTTTTCAATAAATGAAAATTTTAATTGTTGTCACATTGTCGTATCAACAGGTGGTAGCAATACAGACACTTTTGCGGCACGATATTTGTTTAAAATTAGCGCATTCAATCAAACCGTGTTTGACTTGAAAAGATTGATCACGTGAAAGAAATTGGGAAAAGAATACACCTGCTGTTACCCACTGCATGTATCGTAGGAAGCGGCAAATGTGGGAAAACCCTGCAGAATTGTGGTTCGCTTCGGGTGTCCTCTATTTGGTGACACCGAAGCGACCAAAATATATCTGCTGCACCCATTGCAATATTTGGGATCTTTCCTTTCTTTCTTCTTCGTACAACCTTTTATTTACTAGCGCCTTGCTTGGAAACACTTGCGTTTTGGCCTTAATGATGAGCGTTTGCCANGCACATGGAGGCAAATGACCTTAGCTGATAACAGGACGTTAAACAAAATTAAACCTAACCAAACAAAACAAAAACGTTGGTCTTCCTTACGTGAAATGGAACAATGTTTGATGTAGATATGAGGACAACTTCCTCTCATTTAGGGTAATCGCAACAACTGATCAACCCGTTATCGGTCCCATGCGATCGGGCGGTCCCATTTAGTTGATCTGAATATATGTATTTTGTATTGTTTACGGCCTTACAACAATTTGAGTCATTTAGGGCCAAAAGCACTGTAATAATTACCATTCACAAAACTAGAAACAGAAAGGCTGATTTAAAAAAATGGTAAAATGCATCAATAGCGAAGAATTAGTTGTACAATATACAGTATGTAATTGTAAAGACCAGGCCATGTCGGATTAAGTGGGATTGGGAAAGAAGATAGACCTGNTCTTTCTTACGTAAAATGGAACAATGTGTGATGCAGGTATGATGACAGCTTTCTCTCATTTTGGGTAATCGCAACAACTGATTAACCCGTTGTCAGTTCCATACGGTCGGGCGGTCCCATTAAGTTGATCTTAATATATGTATTTTGTATTGCTTACGGCCTAACGACAATTTTAGTCATTTAGGGCCAATAACACTGTAATAATCATCATTCACAAAACTACAAACAGAAACGCTGATTTTTAAAAATAGATGCCGAAATGCATCAATCGCGAATAATTAGTTGTACAATATACCGTATCACCATAAACATGGTCACATTTAAGGAAGACCAACCCTAGTGTTATGTATGTGATCAGTCATTTGTAGTCAAAACTTTTTCATAGTTGAATGCGCTAATTGCAAACAAACTTGTGAGATTCGATTATGTACTGTCTATTTAAAGTTTGTTTGATACAGTTTCTGTGCAGTGGATATATATATATTTATACTGAATTTATCTTTACAATTAAGATATGATATTTACAACCAATTCGTTTGCTTTTCATATATTTATACTATGTTGAACTCGTTTTAATCTTTTTGTTTGGAGTAAAATGTATTTATTGTTGTGAATGTTTTATATTGCTTTTTGGTTCCAGATAAACAATACAGATGATGAAAAACAGCAAAAGATCATACTTATATCACAAATGTTACATTTTTCGTAAGAAAGACCTACATTATTGCCATGCATCTAATCTACCAGTTACAATTATTTTATGACTCAATGCGCTGAATTCAAACATATGCGTGACATATGTATTGTGCAAATAAACAAAGTCTGCAGGTCGAGGACTGAGAAAAGAAACGAGTCTCATATTTGGCCTCGGTATTGAACGTTCGCCAAAGTTTGAGAGGCAATGAGACGTTAAACCCAAACAAAAATCATAAAGCCATTCCTAATATACCTCTCACATGAACATACAAATTAGAAAGTTCGACACCTTTTATCTATATCGAATTGAGATAGTCTTTAAAAAAAATGAAACATTTGGTTACAATTAGAAACAAAATATTGTTCAAACCAAACGTTCGATATGAACAATTGTGTGAAAATGTAGCTAACATTTACTAGTATGTACATGAATGTCCTTGTTATTATCGGAAAACACGTTCAATTGTCGTATAAACAGGCTACCTATTTGGTTCATTCTTAGATTCATTGCGTAATGGGCGGCTGTCCTATATGAAATACTCATCATTTGTTAATGAATGTAATTCCATTACCCTCCAGTGTGAATTATTTGATGTCCTATTGCGAATAAAAAATAGTTATCTTCAATCTTTCAACCTAGTGTATAGAATTTGTCGATGCGATTTACTGATCAATACCAGGACATGCTGATAACAGACGATCGTGTATTGTGGGGACCACTTATCACGTAGGCGCGGTCGTGTGATTTAACACTTACTACATATATAACATCTACATTTGTCTCTCTTGTTTACGTGTAATATTGGGACATTGGTCAGCCAACTGCGCTGATAGGTTAATTGCTTCTCAGATATTTTCGCATTTATCACATACTCCTTAGAAAGGAAATGAAGATGTATGATAAAGGGTTTAATCGCTAGCAAAAACATCCCTAGAGAATTTATCTCGGTGTTACTCAAATGTCATCATTTGCTAGCGTGTAATTTATATGAAAAACTCGAATAGCAAAGAAACCCAAACGCATCAAAAAATTCAAAGCAGTATAAAAGTTATTAAATGAATATTTGAGAATGTGTAATAAACAAAGTGCAGCAGAATATTGGATTTCACTCATGAAATATATGCCTAAAGCACATGTTTCTTCATCGATGTTTAAAGTTTTAGCTAGCTAATTCTTTTGCGCAGCAAAGTGATTGACTCTTCTGATAGAGTATTGTAGTCGTCCCACTCCTAATTTGCTGAGCGTTAAGCAGGAGTAGAAACTGCCATTTTTAAAGACTTTGGTATGTCTCGGCCAGGGGACAGAACCCAAAGCCTTCCTCACAGGGGCGAACGCTCAACAAATGGCCAAAAGTGAGGCATTGTCAAGGGAGACATTAGGAA